GAAACGCATATTAACACACACACACACACACACACACACACACACACACACACACCACCTTGAACTAGAGGGCTTTCTTCAGGCTGGGTTATGCTACAACTGTTTCTCTTTTCACAAGGTCTCTTGGTTGGTTGAGGCCAAAACAGTATTGATTCACTTATATTACAGCCCCCAAAGGTTCTACAAATACTACATATTTCTTACTTTTTAAAACTCAGTTTGAAAAGTTTTTTATGGTTTGTTTGGGTGAGTTTTTCAGCTCAGTCATGCCTACACGATATCCCCATAGGTTTGCAGTTGTTTTATTTTTAGAATAGAACTTGTGTTTCTGTCGCGTCAGCAAGATTGAAAAAAATATAATCTTAACATGCAGTCACAAATAGCTGTGACTCTATGAGTATATAAATCCACTTTTATTTGCTTTTTTTTTGCATTTTGTATTGTGGATCCAGTCATGTTATATAATAAAATAAACTGTTTTTGTAGGGTCATTTGCCGTTTGCTGTAGTTGGCAGCACAGAGGAGGTCTCTGTTGGCAATAAGATGGTGAAGGCTCGTCAATATCCGTGGGGTGTAGTACAAGGTAAGATGGATCATTGTTCGAGTGTTTTCCTACACAGCTGTCCTTGTATTGCCAAATACCTTGCTGTTAATTCTAGGATCACATTGATTTAATGGACCTTTATTTATCTTTTCAGACCTAAATGGTTTCCCCTCACAAGAGTTAACACACTTGTAGAAATGATTACTGTGAAAGAGCTCAATACACTGTGACTTAACTTTGAAATCAGCAAATTCCTGCCAGTGCAGTCAGTGTTAGCTGCCAGCCAACCTACAGTAAAGAAATATCATTACTGTGGCTGTCAGTGGGGAGTTTCAGTGTCTTATCGCCATCTAAAAACATTTTCAAACGCTTTTCTAGCCTGATTTAAAAACATGTTGAGGATATCTATTGAAATGTACAATATTCAATATCAGCTGGATCGCTAACCATTTTATTTGTCTCATATCTACTGGCGTGTGTGTCAGTGGAGAACGAGAATCACTGTGACTTTGTGAAACTGAGAGAGATGCTGATCTGTGTAAACATGGAGGACCTGAGGGAGCAGACTCACACTCGCCACTACGAGCTGTACAGACGCTGCAAACTGGAGGAAATGGGATTTAAAGACACCGGCCCAGAGAGCAAACCTGTCAGGTGAGCTGCCAATTCAAAAGCTCCTGTACGGACAAAAATGTACAACTGGCACGACTGCCAACTGTGTGTGTGTGTGTGCAGCTTGCAGCAGACTTACGAAGCCAAGCGTCAGGAGTTCCTGGTGGAGCTGCAGAAGAGAGAGGACGAGATGAGGCAGATGTTTGTGCAGAGGGTGAAGGAGAAGGAGTCTGAGCTGAAGGAGGCTGAGAGAGAGGTATGTAGACAAACTCAGCATATGTTGTGTGTTAAAATAGTCTCAACTGGGTGCACACTATCCCTGGGGGTGTGAGCTTTCTTAAAGAAAAACAGTAGTTTATTTGTTGCCCTGGCCATTGAGCGGTTATCATAACATTATACCCGCCAAAGAATTGCTGAGATCTTGGCAACAACATTGCTAAAAATAGGTTCAAGGAAATTATACAAGTTTTAAAGAAACCTCAGGTTAGTTATTTATTAGTTATTTGGAAGAGAAAACAATGGCAAACAGTGAAAGTACTGTCCTTTGTAAACATCTACAGTACTACACACTTTCTGGTTCAGCTGTGACCCACTGTACTAAACTGTATTTTATCCCTCAAAAGTTGTAGTTTGTTAGTGTGCTCATCCTTTTTTGAATAAAGAAACAAAATTTCAACAAACTCTTTTCCTTTTTCAAGGTTTATATTTCTTTTTTCCAGACAGTCAATCAAACTCTGTTACAATTGCACATCTGATTTCAGTGTGAGAGTTTAAAACCACATTATGCAGTTAACTAATCATTTTAATTTACTACCTAGAAAGGCAGACAACTAATGTTTCTGCTGCTTCTACTTGATACTCAGCTCTGTTCTCTGCGTGTGTTTCAGCTGCAAAGTCGTTTTGAGCAGCTGAAGCGCCTCCATGCAGATGAGAAAGCAGCTCTGGAGGAAAAGAAGAGACTCCTGGACGAGGACCAGAGTTCCTTCAGCAAGAGACGAGCTGCCGCCCAGCTCCTGCAGGCCCAGAGCCTCACCGCTAACGGCAAGAAAGACAAGGACCGCAAGAAGTAAGCAGCTTTTCTAAAAGCTACTGCTGATGTTTCATGGAAATATTCAGGATCCAGAGGTTTACACATCTGTAGGCAGTGAGTGAAACAAAACTTTTTGAGTTATTAGTGACTTCCTGTTGACAGTGGGTTCAATACTAAAGCCTTTTACATAATGTAGGACACATTGCCACCTGCTGGTAAAATGAATGTTGGGAAACAAATGTGATGACTGCTGAGTGCCTTTAAGATTTGTGTACCTGACCGACATGGTTCATATTGTGCTGATGGTAGTTTGCAGTCTTAGACAGTAAACTGGGTTCGATGTGTTACCGGTGTTAACTGGGTGGGATATTGTAGTTATCATCTTATTATCGAGTGGACAAAAGGCCACTTTGGCTTTAAGTGGCTTACAGACAAACTATGTAATAGAGCCACATAGTAAATTGACAGTAAATTCAGGGATATGGTGTGAGATATGTTAGTTAGAATTTACTGTAAAATGAATTCTCCACTCACTCAACTGCCTATTGTTCTCTCTTCCAGCTCTGGCTTCATGTGAAGACGTCGGGAGCCGAAGTACACTCTAGTATGACCAGTATAACCAGTGACATTCTGCCCACATCTTTTCCAGCCCTTTGTGGCCAGTCTCAAACACTAACCAGGAAACCCCCACACAAACCAGCAGTGTGTGCGAGTGTGAGTTTGATTTTGTGCCAAAGTTTAATGACTGTACCCATGAATCCTGTGTACACTTTCCTCAATGGTATTTTTAATCTTCTTTGTGGGTTTTATACCTGTGTAATATTTTATATTTATCCTTTCATTTTTATATAAAACCTTTATTTTCCATATACCTCCCTCTTTTTTTTTTTTTTTAAACTTCTGCCCAGACTGAGGGGCACCCCAGGGTGTTGATCCTTACACAGCCTCCTCACTAGATGCTGTACATTAATCAAAGGACTTGGATAGGTTCAAACAATACATTGAAAGGGACCTCTTCAGTTACATTTAATCTGAAAAAAGCTACAATAGCATAAATACCTTATGCTATTGTAGCTTTCTAATGCTCAAAGAAACGTAAAAGACTAAATAAAACCAATTTAACGTGTAGAAGAAATCACTCGTATTTTCATTCATTTAGTTTTTTCTGTGGTGAGGTAAAAGTGGAGCAGAACCCTTCAGACAGCCACAGTAGGCGTCAGAACAGTAGTCTCCCTACATTTTCAGCTTTCGTTCGTGCCAACCGCTTAACAATCCAGCAAAATGTTTAAATACAGCATGCCACAACTCAACAGGTTGTTATTTTTAAGTACATCTTGGCATTGTCAGATGGTACAAAATAGGAAGCAGGATTTTATGTTCTATACATAATTGATGACAGACAAATTTATCAGGAGATCTACATGGTTGGTTAGACTAGTGAGAAGCGGAGGCGAGCAGATAATGGAGAGATAAACAATCAACAATCCATCATGTTATTATTTATTCAACACACAGCTGTTCTCCAGCAGTGCTGCCGCTGCGGTGTGAGGGAATATAGCGCAAGCGCTGCAGCTCTGTGTAATTGCCCTGTCATATTTTAAATAGAGCCGTTACAGAATATTGACTCCACAGAGGCCTGTGTACAATATGTTTGAATGCCAAAACTTCCTTTTAATTTAACAGATTTGTAGCTAGCAATGTTGCAGAGACCATGTCTGGAAAGGGCTGACATAAGCACAGGGCATTATTATTCCTTATCCCTCTTCTGTATTATGTTTGACTTTTTTTTCCCCTCACACCTCCTTGATGTAAACTTTTACTGTGAGTACACCAGCATTACAAAAACCTGCAGCAGCCACACTGATTCTCAGTTGTTTTAAAGGGAAATGGTTTAAACTTCTTTTGTCCAATCACAGCTTTACAGTTTTCTAGGAGGGTGAGGCTGATGCTTGGGTTTTCGGATTAGGTACATGTTACTGCATATATATTCATATATATATATTTTGTTTTACTTGCTCCCTTATTTTTCCTTCTGACACAAACCGCGGAAGTCAGGCTGAAAAGAGCTGACTCACGGAAATTATGTGTAGTCAGTGTTGAGGGGAATGCACGAAGAGAGGGAGGATGCATTTGTGACTGTATTTTTTACTCTCTTTTATTCTTTCTCTCTGGAGTCATTATGAGACAGGGTTTCACACCTCAAAGCATGTTAACAGTACAGACTAAACCAGAACACTGTGGTACTGGTTCCCAGTAAAGTGAGATTCATAAACTACCATTTACTCACAGACACTGCCACTTTATATTTACACTAGTGCTTATGATGTGTGAGTGCCTTATCTATGTGAACGTTGTTAGAAATACACTATCCACTTAACTTTTACATCCAGGGAAACACACCAATGCCTAATGGAGTAACAGTTGTCTTGTTTGTACTACACTTGTATTTAAGGAATAAACAGTGTTATTTGGGAGCTTTTTTTTCCTTCTTTCTAAATAAATCTTTGTATTTTTGTCATGATACACTCTGCTTGTCTTGTTTGTTTTTATCTCACAATATGATTAATGAATTCCTGCTACTTTTTCTTTAAAACCAAAGCAGCTCATGTTCTAGTTTAGGTGTTTTATTTCATGCAGGTTCATCACAAGTCATCATTTGGAAATTGGTCCTGAAACACATTTTTAAATACATTTTTTCAGACTTCCTGACGTCATTCCTCTCCAACGCTGTGATTCATTATAAAAGAAATACCCACTGTAGAGACTTCTACTTGTCTTTCCCTTTTATCAGAAGCTAAGAGGATAGAGGATGACCACAAGCCTCCCTTTTCCTTAAGAGGAAGATTTAGGGTAAAGCAGTAGCTTAACATCCTCCCTGCCCACCACTTGACCGTATCTGAACACAGAGGGACCGCCCTGTACTGTCTGGTAGAGGTCTTGTTCCCTGCAGTGTCTTACCCTCCAGATTTGTTGCCCTTCATGTGACTTACAGCTGGCACACAGACAAGTAGACAGACAGGTCTGGCGTAAAGCAGAAGAATGCTGATCGATTCCCTGCAGGGGTCTGCAGCACCTCGCTGGGAAGAGGACGCCCCGAGGAGAACCGTTTCACCAAGGCAAACTGTGGAGAAAGTGTATGTGTGTACAGACACCTTTAGCCTTTACCTTTCTGGGTGGGAAGAGATATCTCCCAGTTTTCCTGCCAGAGGTGAACACTATCGCTGCACTGCAGAAATAAAAAAAAAAATCTAAATTTGCTGCCTGCCTTCTGCTCACCTTAAATGTAGCAACCTGAGTTTGTGTGTTAGTGTTAAGTTTTTCTGTGTGCACTTACATCCAAGATAGCTGTCATACTCCCTCCTCTTGCACACACAGTCATTCACACACACACACACACACACACACACACACACATACCCTTGTCACCTTTTCCTAGTCACTCTAAATGCAAATGGAGGTGATCATTGGAGACAGGCCCGGCTGCTGGAGAGATGAGGTTGTCATTTAAGGGGAGTGCCGGCGACGCTCTGAAATTACCAATTACACACCTCGTTCATGCCAGTGTTGGCTTGAGAACACAGGAGAGACGGAGGCAGAGAAAGAGGAAAGGGCAGGACATAAGGGGAAGAAGATGGAGGGAAGGAGGAAAAGACGGAGAGTATTTCCAAACATCCTTTGTTAGCATGTCTGTAATGATAAAGACGGTAATACACTGTCAGACAACTGTACCTGGAATGTTGCTCGTAAGGCTTCATAAGCTCATAATGAGCACATTGTGAGCGCAGATAATTAGAATTAGAGCAGGATATAATATGATTCTCTGGATGAATCCTCCAAAGGGCAGCTGTAAAGCCCTAATGAGCCATACAGGTAATGTGTTTGTTACGCATCAGAGTACACAAGTGTTTCCTATCACTTTCTGTGTTATCTCCATTATAAAGCTGCAGGCAGATGCAAAAAGAAAGACAGAGAAAATCAGTTTTAAAACAAAGGCATTTATTGCGAAAAATGCACTTGACATGAAAAAACAATCAAATCAGCCACGGGTCATCAGTACAAGACGATGTATAATGATCACATGGTAGAGAGCGCTGGGCATTGCCAGTGCAGAGCATGACTTCAATGGCACAAAAGGCCTATAAATATTCTGCACAATATAGAATTATATATATACTGTCTTTTTTTTTCTTTTCTGTTTCTCTCACTGTACCGCTGTCTTCAACCCGACTCAGGCCTGATGAGGCATGATGCCGCACCAAACTTATTCATAAAGTTCCTTTTTTATGTAAAGAGCTACATACAGAGGCCCCCCCCCTCCCCTCGCACACACACACACACACACACACACACACACGCACACACACATTCAAACCTCAAGTATCCATAGGAACAAATATGGCCGACATCTAATTCAAGATGGCAGGGTGAATGCTTCCTGGGAGGATAAAATAAAGGGAGTGAACAGTAATTTCCTATCAAGTCCAATGAAAAACTGAATACACAATGGTATGTTTCATGTTGCGTTCATGTCCAATGGAAATTACCACCGCTGTTCATGACTTGTTCACATTTTTCAAGCCCGTCACCATGAGTTAAGTCAAGTGGTATTTACAAACAGGAAGCTGAGACAAAAAGACAAGCTTACATCACGGAAAAAAAAACCACAAACGGCATGAAAACATTTGATCAAGATATTTAACGTAAAGTGACCACCGTGCAGTGGTTTCATTCCTGATGTTTCGACTGTTGTAAACTCCTCCTCACAGCATCTGCCTCATGCAAAAAACAGAAAACCCACTGAGATCTGTTGATCTCAGACACAAATGAGGACTTGTGCTTAAGTTTGACTCAGTAGATATTAGAGTCCTCTAATAGTTCAACAAACAGATAAGGGAAACCTCACTCTGGGGTTTATTTTTAACAGCGCTGTTCTGGGATCTGCTGGTTTTTGTCATCGAGTCAAACAGAACAGAGCTACGAGAAAAAACAACTAGCAGGCTCGTCGTACCGATATTAAAGTACTAAAGACGGATTGGCCTGCCTGATGTAAATACTTAAGTGTCTGTGTGTGTGTGTTGGCATTTGTAGGCACCAGGGTTTGACTGACAGGTTTTGAAGGCCAATGCAAATATTTTTAGATTGAAGCTTCCAATTACTAATATCTTCTGACAGATTTTGACATTTACTTTTCATTGGCTGAACCAAAACACCCAAATACAAGTCGCACAAATATCATAGCCTAGTAGACTTGTGTGAAATAGATTAAGTAACTAGAAAAAATTAAACGGTTATGGAATGAAACCGACTGCTTTATCTCCAGGATTCTAGCTGGAAAGTGATATTTGTCAGTCTAGCCTTAGTCTTTTATATGTATGAGTATGAGGCTTACAGTCTCCAGTTGAGCTGTGACCTGCTGGAGGAAAAAAAAAAATCTTAATTTAGGTTTCATCTGTTGCTCCAGATGCACAGGATTACCCATGCTACACTGCCAGCAGCCAGGAGATGATCTCAGAGCATGCTGCTCTCTGCAATGACTGTGTGTGTGTGTGTATCTTCTCATTTTGTAAAGTTTATTTCCTTAACATGTTTTTGATCACTTTTCTTCACAGTTTAAGGGATCGGGGTCAAGTTCCTTCCCCTGAAATTTAACAGCAGGGGGAAAAAAAAACCCAAACACTTCACAAATTTCTTGTGCTTTTGTCTCCTCAGTGACAACGCACCTCTACTTCAAGTTTAAGGTGAACATGAAAACATTAAAACTGACAAAAAATAGTTTAATTTTAAATCTACTCTTATTTTCTTTCTTTTAACAATCTGAGGGAAAAGGGGGCAAGAGTTTTTTTGAGTCTGATTTTTTGTCTGTCTTGTGCTTGTTGTCTGCACGTCTGTGGAGAGCTTGTTGCAGAGTCTCCCATCTAACTGTTTATTCTGCAGCCACATCATATGGGAATAAGACATGACAGAAGTTTCCAAACTGTTTTGACACTCAGCGTTTTGTTGACTGAGAAGATTTTGACTGATGTAGTGCAAAAAAAAAAAAAAACATCTAGAATTTTGCATTTGTCATTCCCATATGACGTGAATGCGCTGAAGTGTGGTTAGCCAATGACACACTCTAACCTGGTAATGACCCAGTTAGACGTTGTGTGCTCAGCCAATGAGTGAGCCTCACCTTCGTGCACATGGCCAGCAGTTGTTTGTGCTTCATTCTGGCCCAAGCAGGTGAGGAAATCTATTCATGCCCTTTAACTTTCACTGATACATAGGCCGGTATTAAAATCCCCTTAACCTCTCACACACAGATACACACACAC